TTATAAATTTTAAATTTACTATATTTACTATTTGTACTAAGCCCATATTGAATTTAAGAAATATTCCACACATGAACATAATATGGCATGTGTGGTAAAGATATGACATTTTGAAGGTTAGACTAAGGAAAGTTTATAGTTCATATATGTATATATAGTATATATAGATCAGCATCAATACCCGACTTGATATAGCCATGTTTGCCTGTCCTTAGTCTGTGTCTATGGGAACTAGTCTCTGAGCTGTAAGGCTATCATCTTGAAACTTTGCCTGGCAAAGTCTGATCGAATCGGACCACTATATCATATAGCTGCCAGAGTAAAGATAAGAAGGTTATTTGGTAAAATATTAAATATTTTCCAAGATATTTTTATCAAACTCAGCTTCACTATTCTCATATATTTGCACAAGGGAAATTCGGCCTTCCGAAGATATACTTGAGATATACTCCAATGAAATGTTCTGATTTGCTTACGGGTTCGTTCAGTTGATTTTTTTTAAGATTATGTACATAGTAAATATCTGTTTATCTACCAAAATATATAGCTTTCTGATTTGGTAATCTTTCTTAAACATAATAATATATGTGTGTCAATAAGATGAAATTGCATTTTCACCAAAAATTTAATTTTGCTTTTGCTTGCAGCAAACAAAAAATAAAATCAAATAAGAAAAATAGCGGAAAGCAGCAAAGAAGAAAGCAGCACATAAGGAACAACTGGAGCAGGACGAAGGACGAGAAGGCGAGAAGTCGGCTGGGTGGCAGCGATAGCAGAATGTCAAAATGCCATCGGCAGATCAAATCTTGTTCATAAATGTCACCACAACGGTGGCCGCGGCAGCGCTGACAGCTGCTGCAGCCGTCAACAGCACGCCAGAGGCATCCACAGCGGCAGCAGCAGCAGCAAAGGCAGCTTCGACGCCAGCATCGGGCAACGGACGCAGTGCAGCCACAGTGGAGACAGCAGCGGCAGCGGCATCCACAACAACAGCCGCCCTGGCGGCCAATTTATCGGGCTCGCTGGTGGACAGCCTGACAACGGCAACTGCCACAGCGACGGCAACGGCGACGGCGACAGCTGCAACAATTGTGGAGACAACGCATGAATGTGGCGCCCTGGCGGCGGAGGAGCTGCAAGGCAGCTTTCTGGGCGTGCAGCTGGCGGTGCCAGAATGGGAGGCGCTGCTCACAGCGCTGGTGCTCTCCATCATCATAGTGCTGACCATTATTGGCAACATTCTGGTCATACTGAGCGTCTTCACCTACAAGCCGCTGCGCATTGTCCAGAACTTTTTCATTGTCTCGCTGGCCGTGGCGGATTTAACGGTGGCTCTGCTGGTGCTGCCGTTCAATGTGGCCTACTCCATACTGGGTCGCTGGGAGTTTGGCATACATCTGTGCAAGCTGTGGCTCACCTGCGATGTGCTCTGCTGCACCTCATCCATATTGAATCTGTGCGCCATTGCACTGGATCGCTATTGGGCCATTACAGATCCGATTAACTATGCCCAGAAGCGGACGGTGGGTCGTGTCCTGCTGCTGATCTCCGGCGTGTGGCTGCTGTCGCTGCTGATTAGCAGCCCGCCGCTAATTGGCTGGAACGATTGGCCGGATGAGTTTACCAGCGCCACGCCCTGTGAGCTAACCTCGCAGCGTGGCTATGTCATCTACTCGTCGCTGGGCTCGTTCTTCATACCGTTGATCATCATGACCATTGTGTACATCGAGATCTTTGTGGCCACGCGCCGGCGTCTGCGTGAGCGCGCCAAGGCGAACAAGTTGAACACCATCGCATTGAAGTCCACAGAGCTGGAGGCCATCAATACCAGCGGTGCGGCGGCAGCCGGTGGCAGCTCGACCAGCTCCAAGGCGCGTGCCTTGGGCAGCCTGTGCAGCAGTTGGCTCTGCTGTGGACGGGATCGCGCCAACTTTGCCACGCCCATGATACACAACGATCAGGAGAGCCTCAGCAGCGAGACGCACGCACAGCCCGAGCCGAACAAGGAGCAACAGCAGCAGCAGCAACAGCAACAGCAGCAGCATGTTGTCGTGCTGGTCAAAAAGTCGCGTCGTGCCAAGATCAAGGACTCCATTAAGCACGGCAAGGGGCGCAGTGGTCGCCGTTCCCAGTCATCCTCGTCGACCTGCGAGCCGCACGGGGAGCAACAGTTGCTGCCACAAGCCAACAGCAACAATGCTAGCAACGCCGCCAAATCGGATCCAGAGATAAGCACAGAGAGCGGCAGCGATCCCAAAGGTTGCATACAGGTTAGTTATTCAGATCTACATATAAAGCTGTTGCCTCATGAATTTTTGAATGAATGACTGAATGAATGACTGAATGAATGACTGAATGACTGACTGATTGGTGATTGGGAGATTCCACCAGCAAGTGTTGAAACTTTGGGAAGCTCTATCATACAAACGATTTTTAGCTCCTTTTCCCAGATCTTTCTTTAAATCCATTTAAGAGTTGTTTCACACTTTTTGGAAAATCCACCACATTTTGGGTGAAATTACTGGTTCAAACGCATTTCCAAGAATCTTTATGAAATTTTATTTCACAACTTTTTCTAAATCCACAATCAAAAAAGATAATAATCATATTTCTAAAATATTCACTGAAATAACGAAAATTAGTTTTTCTGAAATGAGGAAAAACATTTTTTGAGCGTATTAACTAAAATTTGAATTAAATAGACTAAGTCTGATAGGTATTAGCTCAGAGTTGATAGTCTAAATGACAACACACTTTCCCACAGAACACATATATATCTATAAGAATGTTAATTGGCATGTCTCATGCCAAGAATGAACTTTAACCCCACCATAAATATTTGAATAAAATTGCTCAGGTTTGCGTGACCCAGGCCGAGGAGCAAACCTCGCTGAAGCTAACACCACCACAGTCGACGTCGACAGGCGCAGGCGCTGCTGCTCCGGCGCTGCAGAAGAAGCCGAGCACCGTTAATCAGTTTATCGAGGAGAAGCAGAAGATCTCGCTGTCCAAGGAGCGGAGGGCGGCCCGCACCCTGGGCATCATCATGGGCGTCTTTGTCATCTGCTGGCTGCCATTCTTTCTGATGTACGTGATCTTGCCATTCTGCCAGAGCTGTTGTCCCACAAACAAGTTCAAGAACTTCATCACCTGGCTGGGTTATATTAACTCCGGCCTGAATCCGGTCATCTACACGATATTCAACCTGGACTATAGACGCGCATTCAAAAGGCTGTTAGGCATCAACTGATACGCTGATCTGGGCAAATCTAGGCGGCAACAGCAGCAGCTGCAGCGGAGCGAAAGGGAGAGCGTTAGTCAAAGTTTGTGCCAAAAATTAATCTGATTTTGGATGATGTGGAAACACCTGACGAAATACTACAAAATATGGTTTCACTCATTTGTATAAAGATCTCGAGTTTTCATCTAAGCTAATATGCAATTTATAAATATATGGACAATTTTAAGCAATTTCTAAAAGCTACGTGTTACAATAGTTTTATTAGACTTTAACTATTTATTTGTCTTAAGAGCTTCTCGTTAATTATTTGTTTACGTGTCGAGCGACTCTCGCCTAAAGTTAGTCTCTCGCTTGTGTCAGGTGTTTCTGCCATTGGAAGGGGCATACCTGGCCGTACTTAGATAAATGTAAACTGTTAAATATACTCATCAAATAAATATAAAAGGACAAATTTGCTTAGATAAGAGATTAAATAAAAAAAAGCATCAAAGTTAGAGCAGAACGAAAATACAGCATTAAAAAATATATTAATATTAAAACGTAAAATACGTAAATAAAATAAATAAAAATAAAAACTAAAATGAAAATCGAATTGAATTTAAATAAATGTTTAGGCACAAGTTTGTTGCAGACTTTCATGTTTCACCTTTCAACGCATAAACTAATTACATAGAAAATACATATAATATATAAAATATAAATTAATATAAATAAAGATTAGTTAAATGCGCGCGCTCAACTTTAAGAAACTTCCAACAGCTGTTTTCTTAGGCATTATTTTAAATAGTTGTATTAAATTTTAGGTAAATGAATTAACTACAAATAATCGAACTTGTTGTAAATGTATGTATACTTTGAGGTACGCTTAAAAAGATTTGTTAAATAAGTTAATTATACGTAAATTATTTTCATGACAGAGCATCAAATGTGTTGAGTGTGCAAAAGCACAGCTATAAGCTTAAATACCTAATAATAATTCACGGAAAAAAAAAACCAAATAAGTAATATATACAAAACAAAAAATTAAATGTTTTATTGCATTGTGCAATAGTGTTATAAAATATATATACTTACATATATATAAATCGGTGTATAAAATCAAAAGAATTTTGATGACGTACGTTAATTTCACTAATTAAATTGTTTAATTAGCAAATGCAAAATGAAACAAAGCAAATGAACAAAAAGACAGATTCGAATAAAAGTTATGACAGATAATAAAAATACATTCCCTTTGTTTGTAAATTGAAACTTTGAATTTCGACCTTATTTATCGGTTTTAGACCTGTAAATAATGCCTTTTCTAAGTTTCAATATCAATTGAATTCAAGTGAGAGTAAAATCGCATTAGGGTCTGCCATTTCGTTTCTATTTCAAATTGACAGAATGCGTAACGGCTTAAATTTAAGACCAGCCAGTGCTGTAAAGGGCCTACCTACAGCAGTTATGCTTGCCCTGTGGAACCCTTATGCATATAAAATAAATAACCTGTTGCTTAACACATGAACGGTGCAGCCCAATAACCTTTACAGTGACTGATATTAACATATGTGTCTTAGTTTAACAGCAGTAACCATAATGTTCACTAACAGTTTCTGGTATTCCTTGGTGAGAGTGCTGACAGAAGCTGCCTTCTATGAAACGACTTATAGTGCTCTCTAGTCAGCTGCCACATAACATTCATATGCTCTGTTAAGTACATCATCAGTGCAGTATTTTCCGATAATAACCAAATACTATTTTGGGGTTTTTAACATTACATTTTGAGCATTTACCGCTGTTTACCAAAATTTATTAGTCATATTTAGTGGCAGTCATAAGTGAAAACTGAAGTTAAATAAATATATTAAATTGTGCTCTTCATAAGCAAATAACAACACTAAAATGCAGGTAAGTCAAAATCACCTACACTACACGCTTATTCATCATTATTGGATCATTTTTCATTGCTTATTTCTGTATGTATATATGTAAATATCGTTAAGCATGTGCATTCTTTTATATCCATATTTGGTAAAAACACATCCAAAATGAAACGCACGAGTGCCCCGAGCATTTTCTGAATGGAAACTTAATTAAATAGTATTTGCTATAGGACCCCAACGAAGATACCGAGTGGAACGATGTGCTGCGCGCAAAGGGAATCATCGGGCCAAGGCAAAAGGAGGCTGAAATCACAGAGGACCAAATTCAGGCAATGATGAATGACGTCATCCAGCGACGCACAGATCTGCCGCCCCAGGAGGGTCAGCGTGACAAACGTATCGATGACATGTCGCTGGACGAGCTCGACGAACTAGAGGATTCTGAGGACGAAGCAGTGCTGGAACAGTATCGCCAAAGACGCGTCGCTGAGATGCGAGCAATAGCCGAAAAGGCGCGTTTCGGCAGCGTGCGTGAAATATCCGGGCAGGAGTACGTCAACGAGGTGACCAAAGCCGGCGAGGGCATCTGGGTGGTGCTGCATCTGTACGCCAACGGTGTACCCCTCTGCGCCCTCATACACCACCACATGCAACAGCTGGCTGTGCGATTTCCGCAGACGAAGTTCCTGCGCTCCATAGCCACAACGTGCATACCAAACTTTCCTGAAAAGAACCTGCCCACCATTTTCATATACCACGAGGGTGCGATGCGCAAACAGTTCATTGGACCGCTGGAGCTGCGCGGCGATAAACTGACGCTCGATGAGTTGGAGTTTATGTTGGGCCAAGTCGGTGCAGTGCCCACCGAAATCAAAGAGGATCCCAGGCCGCAAATCAAGGACAAAATGCTGGCCGATTTGGAAGACAAGAGCGCCGACTTCTACTAAATCTCATTTAAACATCACGTGTTCGTTAATTAACCATTTCATGTTGCAGTACAATAATCTGGGAATCTATCTTCAGACGGTGTGTGCAAATTTGTTATCAAAATAAAAACAATTTTTACTGCCAGGATTCACTTGTTATGCGACTTCACACTGCTCGTCGAGGACTTGTTCGTGCCCTTTGGCTTGCTGCGAAATATATTCGGATCGAGGATATTGTACGGATGCTCGCAGGCGGGATTAATGATGCGTCCGCGCCGCAATTCGTGCTTCTCCAGCAGGTGTGGAGCTAGCAGCAGAAACAGCTGCTCCGTCCACGAGGGCAAGCCAAAGCTGGAGAAACACAGCTCCCAGTAGGGCAGGCCCAAATGCGCAATGGCCATGCGCAAATACTCGCTGAACGTGTCGGCCAAAAACTGCCAGCTAAGGGTGCTCAGCTCGAGCAAATAGAACCTGGGATTGTTCGAGCTGGTGGAATCGTACAACATGCACACCTGCAAATTAGTTTCCCATACATGTATATGTACATACTAGTTCCAGTTTTACAGGACGTCTCACCTTGGCCAGTTCATTTATGTTGTTGATTTCGAATATCTTGGTCTTGGCGGTAATGATAGGCGTGGCGTTATCCCATTTGTCCTTGGCAGCAACAGTTGGTCCACTGGCAATCGCAGTCGCAGAGCCGGAGCTGTTTACCGAGTGCGTGTTCTCGATATTCTCGCGCAGCAGCGTCACCTGCAGAAGGTGCGGAAAGTGTATATAGCCCACGCGGCGCACGTCGTTAGCTGTTGGCAAACATGTGATGGATTTATCGTGATGACGTATAAACTATCTAGACTTACGGGCATATTGATAGCTCCAGTTAAGCACAAAGCCATCGGTAGACAAGTAAAACTTTTTCATATCCTCGGGCAGATAGACACAGTGCCGCTGCTCCCAATTGGTCACCTGGCAGGGATTGAGCGGCTGACGACGCTCGAGATTAACATTGCAGACGCGCGGCACACTTGCTATTGTTTGGAATTTGGAATCGATTCGGTTAGTCAAGTGGCCCGGCTTAGGCACCCTACTCACATAGAGTTTTGATGAGACCTAACGTCAGATTTTCGTAGAATGCATCTTCCGGTGAGAGTTTCTTGTTCATTTTTAAATGTAATTCTTGTCGTTTGAAATATTTTGAAGTGTTGTTTGACGACGACAAGTTGGGGTAGTAAACAATTCCGTCCTGGCACTGGTTGTTCTGGTAACGGCTGCGATAACAGCTGGAAAGGCTGACTTGTTATATACTTCTCAGTCAGTTGAAGAAGGGAACAGGTTTCTTTTGGGTTGTCAATTGGTTGAAATCGATTTTATTTTTTGTCTTAGTAGATATTGCATCGAAACATAAGCACTACTGTACAGATGAATGTACTTTATTGAATTTGGTTAAAATTGATGAACATTGGACTACTTTATCAAAAATTTGAAAATCTAATATATTTATATTTAGATACGAGTATAATATCGTAGGTATACGATTATACGATCACAAAATGATACAAGTATATTAGGTATGCGCAATGTCCGTCTGCCCGTCTTGCTTTCCGTCTGTCTGTCTACCTACTGGGTAATCTGCATATATATTTCTTCTACTGTCTTAGGGACGTATAATACTTATGAGCTCTTCCAGAGCTTGCTCCAGAAATATGAATTGAAAAAATCTACATATACATATTGGTTAAGCTATTATGGAACTACACGACTTTTGTTCTAAAATAGAATTGAATCATTGGAACACTCTTGAAAGCATAAATGGCTGCATGCAGGAACATTATCATAAAATATTCATATAATCAATATGACTACTATTTATTTATATATAATACATTCAAACCCAAAAATATTTACACTAAAAACAAATGATAAAGATATTGTGCACGTTTTGAAAATATGAGAATGGAATAGCACGACATAAGGCATTGGTAGCTGACATCAAGGCTCTTATTCTTTAGCTTGACTTGGGGTTTCGCACTCGGCCTCCTCCTCGTGTCAGGATACCTCCCATACGGTGGACTCCACCGAACGGCGCGGACGTGCAGCGACCTCCACATGGGCGTCCAGGCCATCGCTTAGGCGACTGAAACGGCGTGCCCAGCTGCCGCGCGCGTTCATTTGGCCACCAGCTATGGAGGTGCGGCTGGTGGCGTCTCGGAACAGGCTCATTATGTCTTGATTGTCTCCCTGCGCTCGCTTGATGCCGTGCTGGTATTTGGCCTCCTTGGCAAGCAGCTGCTCGCGCTGCATTTGTGTCTTCACCTCGGACGGTACATCGGGTATGATGAACTGCATGATGCCGGTTAGCACGAAAACCACATGCTATTACGAACGATAAAAATCCATGTTTATATATTGGACATTAGTTTTAATTTAGTTAATGCACGCGTTTACCTCGAACACCACGACGAACGCCAAGCGTGCGGCAAATACATGCCAATAATGGGGACTAAGTCCATACGGCTCATAGTCCTTGGGGCCATTGCTATCAGAGGACGACAATCTACAAATGTGACTCAAAATTGATGGGGCACGGTTTGGCTTACCGATAGCCTCGATATTTGCAGGTGTCGGGATCGCGTTCGCTGCTTGTGGCGCCCCATTCCTCCTTGTAGTCAGATGTATTGAATATGGACAGGGAGTGCTCTATATAGCCGGCCAAAGTGTGGGACTCCGAGTAGACAAACTTATAGACGACGCGTGGAATAAAATCGCTTGTGTAGGCGATCACAAAAGCATTGGACACGACGGCCGTATAGGTAATAATGCGCAATATGCCATACCAGGCACCAATATCCTCTACACGCTCCGCCAAGGGGCGCCTGGCCTGTGTGACCATCTTGTAGGCATCCAAACGAATTTCGGCCACATTGTTGAGCAACGCAAAGAGCGGAGCCAGCGGGAATGCGGCCACAAACAGTGTGACGAATCCATACTGTAGGACTGAATATATAAGAATATATGTTAAATTCTTTCTGGATACTCATCAAATGGATAGTCATTAAATGGACACTCACTCATTTCTAGGTACTCGTCAAAAAGTGCCAAACGACCCGGATCCTGCATATGATAGTCCTGCTCCCACGCCATGTGCAAATGTGACTCATCTTTTGTGGCCTTCAATCAATATATTGTTAGGATTCCCTCCATATTTATAAATATCTCTATTTATATCTTAATGCCTACCTGTTTGTGCTTTCGCTGGCGCCACCAGTTCCAGAATTTGGGAAACAGATACTCCATAAAGTTATTCCAGCACTGTTTGCCCACCATAATGATAGCCTATAGCAAAACAAAAACATATAATCCGCACTTAGCCTACGAATTCTTTTCAAAATCTTTAACTTATTGCCTACCAGTTGTATGCATAGCTCGGAGAGGCAACCCGCCGGATCGCATATGTCATTTTTGAGGCGAAAGAACTCACTGCGTCGCGCCTGATCATCGCCGGGATAGTCAAAGAAGCGACCCTTGAAGAAGGCTATGTAGATAAGCGACGAGTAAAAGTTCATAAACTCAAAGAAGAATATCTTAAACGTATATGAATCCTCGTATTCGGTATGGGTGCGTGGATTCTCCAGATTTGTTAACTTAATTGCCATACGATGATAGATCTATAAATGAATTGATTTAATAAGGTTCCTTAATAGCGGCAATATTACATACGCGTGTTAATATCATGATGACCACCAAATTGATCAAAGCCGCTGTCACTGTGGTGAACAGTTTGGCATGCTCCTTCACAAAGAAGCCGCCACCGCCATAGATTACCGAGACCAATGATATGCGATAGATAATGGTGCCCAGCACGGCAGAGAGCACAACGGCGATCTATTGAGGATCAGATTGAATATCATGATACTAGGATTATCCCTGTCAATGCTAATTTTTACCATGAAAAGCACCGCGCTTCCGGTTATGACAAATCGAATGGCCCGACTCCATGTGGACATGTAGGGTTCCTTTTCTCGTGTCACTGGATTCATTCGAAATGTGGTGGCATTCGTCTCAAACTCGGGCCGATTCTCCTCATCCATTTCCACATTGTGCAGGTCCCATTCCCACACTAAGACCGATTGCTTGCGTTTCCAAAGCTCCAGGAAGGTGGTAGCTAAAAGTAAAGTTTTTCTTAGGATCTGGAATATATGATTGTGTGTGTATTTACCCCAAAAGGACATGAAGATTGCGAAAAATACCGTAGAGGGATTGTCAAAGAGGTATGTCAGTCGTGAGAACAGGCATGATTCGGATAGTCTTTGGTAGCTGCAGGCCTTATCACAGAGTGGGCATAGCGTTATGTTGCCGGTGCCGTACTCGTTGCAGATCTCCTTGCTGGGCGTATTGTCCTCCGACTCCAGTGTGGCCAGTCCATATATAAAGCAAAGAGTGCCCACAACGGCCGGATAGACTAGCATTTCGGTATAGAAGCCCAACCAACTGAAATAGAGTGCGATTTTGTCCCCGAAGTACTTGCGCACCAGGCACAGTGGCTGCTTCTTGTACCACTGCGAAGGATGCGCCCACGTCTGATACAGTACGCGGCGATCCAGCGAAATGCCACTCGAATGCGGTCGATCGTAGCGACCCTCGTGCAATGGAAAACAGCCCAGATATGTGCCGTCATTCAGCAGGCGTCGTATGCCACTCCGATCGCTCTCATCAAAGGGTGTGCGTATTAGCACTTGCATGACCATAAGCGAGCGCTGGGCACCCGTGTACGCAGTGGCACGATCCTTTACAATGAACCTTTATAAGAAAGATATGAAATTTATAGATTAAACGAGAATAGATTTTTGTACCTTAAGCCCATTGAAAATCTACGACCCCATAAATATATATTTAGCCATGTCCGTCAGTCCCTCCATCTGTCCGTCTGTATGTACATTTGGTCTTGCGCAGCAAGATATTGCTAGAGACACCATAATTTGAATGTCAACTCTCTTATACACAGATTCAGAACATTTCACTCGCTGGATGTTTTTTCTCTTTCCCTCCAAAAAACCAAACCAGAGTGTGGGTCAAAGGGCAATTAAAGCTCAGTAAATGTTTTTTTGAATTTGTAGTTTGTATCTCGGGGCTAGGCTCAGGTAAACTCCTTGTCAAAACTTACTGCTCCTCTGGATTGCCATTGGCCGTTGCTGCTTTGAAAGTTGTCTCACCCTCCAGCAGGCTGTGATCTAGCTGTATCTTTTTGGTTAAACGTTGCCACACATCTTTCCAGTACTGGACATTCCGCATAACTACATTCTCCTCATCCTGCAGTATTTAAGATATATTGATGGGAATAAACACACACGCAATTAAGTCAACTATAGTCTTACCCAAGATGGCTTAACGGATATGGTTATGAAGCGTTTGATGGGCAGCTTCAGATTCATGACCTCGGCTAGACGCGTTTCCAGGCGCCAAGGCAGATGAATTTTGAGGAAAAATGTTTTTTCATTGAACGATTGTGACTTGTCCTCCAGCTCCACTTCGAGGCCCTCTTTAACAAGATTCTCAATAAAGCTGCGCCTAATGTCGCGCCGTCGTGCCTCCGCTTCGGTCATAACGCCCAGATCCTCCTCTTCCCAGGCCAGCACCATGTCCACCTTGCGGCGCCCATCGCGAAACATCAGGGACTCCGGATCGAGTCCCTCCCGATCCTGCTTGCTTATGCGTCGCTCTTCACTGCCTTCGCCCGTTAAGCTGTTGCTCTTGCTGGCCTTGCGACTGCTCAAATAGCTGCCGGTAATGCTGCTCTCCCCGGTGGATGTTTTGCGTTCAGTGGGCAATAATTGCCTGTAGCTAAACTGATCGGTCAGCACATTCGAGTGCGAGGACTCGACTATTTCGTAGGGCTGCTTGACAGACTCCTCGGCCTGACTGGACTTGCGTCCGCCCAACGTTGGACTCAGGTTCAAGCCCAGCGTACGACGCATTGCAGTACCAGGTATATCCTCGTAATTGCTGCCCACAACTCGCGGTCCAAAAGCTTGCGTGGGGCTCGGCTCCGCTGACTCTGTCTCCAGATGCGTAGGCAGCGGCATGGCTATGGAGTTGACTTTCTGATAAAATGAGCCGTTGCCACCGCGCACCATCGAGGAGTTTAGCCATTTCTCCGTGTACGCTGCCGAGCTGGAGTTCTGCTCCAAAGGTGGATTGGGCGTAAGAGGATTACCCGCTGGCATTGGACTATGGCTGGCCGCTTGTCGCTCTGCATCCAGAAAGCTGTAAATATTATCAGTGGCAGTGATGCTGGGTTCCATTGGTGGCGATTGCAAATCCAATTCAATCAAAGGGCTCTCCTGCTGTGTTGAAACGTTTAAATAAGTATTGCCAATTGGCGGGCAAACGGATAACTTACAGCATAACCAACCAAGCGGCCGGCCACTATCCCGCTGTCCTGGCTAAGTCTTCGTGGGCGTATCTTGGTCTGCTTGCTG